AAAAAAGCAGCCGCCGCACTTCGCGTTGAGTCGGACAAGGGGCCACATGCGTCTTAAATGCTACGTCGCTTTGTTGGATCGTATGCAGAGACCACGCTTCGCTTGAGTCATTGTAGCGCGTTTGAGACACGGCCGGAAAGGAAACCCTTGTCTATCTGTCAAACTGCCGGCATCCATGCGCGCACCGTCTGCTATCACAAGCTGTGAGGAGACACTACATATAAACAAAGCGAGCACAAGACCCCCGTGCTATACGAGCGATATTTGCTGCGAGAACATTAGTGCACGAGCACCACACTCTGCCTGGCGGTATCCGGATGGCGCCAAAAAGCCGAGGGCAGCTGTCCATGGCCCGTCCGACCAGCGCCCATCTATACGTAGTACATTGGTAATGATTCTAGTACATGCACAGGAACGACTAGCGACAAGTCGCGCATGTTGAGCCTTGCATCGTTCAACAGAAACCCTAGGTTTCAAGAACGACGGTGCGGACAGTAGAGTTTCAGGAACGCAATAGTTTCATGAATCTGAAACTGAACTGCCTTGCGCTTTACAAGTCAATGGAACAGATCATGGTTTAGAATCGCCGCCAATTGGTCTCCAGTAAGTGAGTATATCATTTAGAGGGCATTCGACTCAAACGTCCGACTGCGCGCTGCGTCCGAGTCTGAGAGGAGTACTATGCTCGTATCTTTATGAGTCCGTAGCACGCCATCGGGTCTACCTGGTCCGCCTAGGCCTTACTACTATCGGTTGGTGTCTACACAGCAGGCCATGTCCATCGCGACCGACAACCTTTGGCTCAAGAGACCAATCGAAGCCACCCAACCTCGCCACTCAGATGACGACTGGCAGTCCAATGGATCGTCCAGCATTTCGAACCTGATGCTCCAGCATGTAACCAAAGCAAGCGGTTGAGGCTTTATAGCAAAGATCATTGTCGACTAGACTGACGCTTCACCGAAACCGGTGGCATGGTGCCACCGTTTCAACTGGCCGATGAAACTGTACTCCCAGTCCCTCAACCGTGCAACCCACATAACGTGTCTCGTTGACAGGACCCAAGCCGTCGATGATGAGCGTCGCGATTTCAAATTTATGGTCTGCGCCGCTCACACCCCACATCACCACCACACTTGCAGCGTCAAATGTGGAGTCAACGTCGACGCCTTCCTCAGAACCCACCTGCATGTCGACGTTGAGACGCGTGCCAAGGGAACGACGAGGAGCGGCCGAAAAGTAATCCTCGGTGGCTGGCACGTGTACATAAACGTGTTGAAACGTGGGCTCGATGCGAATCTCGACGCAGGTACAGTTCTCCGATTCGCAATCCTCCCACGTTGCTGCACGTCTCGAGACCGCGCACGTGTGGCCGCAAGCGTGCCATGTTGACGCTTGTGCGCGGTCATCTGTTAGCTTGGATGTACATGCGATGCTGTCACACGCTTGTGGAAGACACCGATAGCGCATCGAATCTGCGCATACCGGTACCTATGAGGCATGGTCGTCCATCGACAAGGAGCAACCTGACGTCAGCTCCAATTTTGCTGGCCAGAGCTACTTTTAAATCAACCCCGCCTGATCCGAGATTCGTTCCCCAACCGTGCCCTCCATTTCGAACCCGTGCCATCGTCCTTGCCCCTGTCGATGCTCCTCACTGCGGCCACCGCAAATCAGGCAACGATAGCAC